GGTTTGTTGGAGATTTGGCTGTGCAACAGATGTATCTATAGGACCAGGGGAGAGGTTTGTTGGAGATTTGGCTGTGCAACAGATGTGACCATAGGATCAGGGGAGAGGTTGTTGGAGATTTGTCTGTGCAACAGATGTATCTATAGGACCAGGGAGAGGTTTGTTTGAGGTTTGTCTGTGCAACAGATGTATCTATAGGACCAGGGGAGAGGTTTGTTGGAGATTTGGCTGTGCAACAGATGTATCTATAGGACCAGGGGAGAGGTTTGTTGGAGATTTGTCTGTGCAATGGCTGTGACTATAGGACCAGGGGAGAGGTTTGTTGGAGGTTTGGCTGTGACCATCGGACCAGGGGAGAGGTTTGTTGGAGGTTTGGCTGTGACTATAGGACCAGGGAGAGGTTTGGCTGTGCAACAGATGTGACCGTAGGACCAGGGGAGATTTATTTTGGAGGTTTGGCTGTGACCATAGGACCAGGGAGAGGTTTGTTGGAGGTTTGGCTGTGACTATAGGACCAGGGGAGAGGTTTGTTGGAGGTTTGGCTGTGACTATAGGACCAGGGAGAGGTTTGTTGAAGGTTTGGCTGTGACTATAGGACCAGGGAGAGGTTTGTTGGAGGTTTGGCTGTGACTATAGGACCAGGGGAGAGGTTTGTTGGAGGTTTGGCTGTGCAATGGCTGTCACCATAGGACCAGGGGAGAGGTTTGTTGGAGGTTTGGCTGTGACTATAGGACCAGGGAGAGGTTTGTTGGAGGTTTGGCTGTGCAATGGCTGTGACCATCGGACCAGGGGAGAGGTTTGTCTGTGCAATGGCTGTGACCATCGGACCAGGGAGAGGTTTGTTGGAGGTTTGGCTGTGCAATGGCTGTGACTATAGGACCAGGGGAGAGGTTTGTTGGAGATTTGGCTGTACAATGGCTGTGACCATAGGACCAGGGGAGAGGTTTGTTGGAGGTTTGGCTGTGCAATGGCTGTGACTATAGGACCAGGGAGAGGTTTGTTGGAGGTTTGGCTGTGCAATGGCTGTGACCATCTGACCAGGGAGAGGTTTGTTGGAGGTTAGGCTGTGACCATCGGACCAGGGAGAGGTTTGTTGGAGGTTTGTCTGTGCAACAGATGTATCTATAGGACCAGGGGAGAGGTTTGTTGGAGATTTGGCTGTGCAACAGATGTATCTATAGGACCAGGGGAGAGGTTTGTTGGAGATTTGGCTGTGCAACAGATGTGACCGTAGGATCAGGGGAGAGGTTGTTGGAGATTTGTCTGTGCAACAGATGTATCTATAGGACCAGGGAGAGGTTTGTTTGAGGTTTGTCTGTGCAACAGATGTATCTATAGGACCAGGGGAGAGGTTTGTTGGAGATTTGGCTGTGCAACAGATGTATCTATAGGACCAGGGGAGAGGTTTGTTGGAGATTTGTCTGTGCAATGGCTGTGACTATAGGACCAGGGGAGAGGTTTGTTGGAGGTTTGGCTGTGACCATCGGACCAGGGGAGAGGTTTGTTGGAGGTTTGGCTGTGACTATAGGACCAGGGAGAGGTTTGGCTGTGCAACAGATGTATCTATAGGACCAGGGGAGAGGTTTGTTGGAGATTTGGCTGTGCAATGGCTGTGACCATAGGACCAGGGGAGAGGTTTGTTGGAGATTTGGCTGTGCAATGGCTGTGACTATAGGACCAGGGGAGAGGTCTGTTGGAGGTTTGGCTGTACAATGGCTGTGACCATCGGACCAGGGGAGAGGTTTGTTGGAGGTTTGTCTGTGCAATGGCTGTGACTAAAGGACCAGGGGAGAGGTTTGTTGGAGGTTTGGCTGTGCAATGGCTGTGACTATAGGACCAGGGAGAGGTTTGTTGGAGATTTGGCTGTGCAATGGCTGTGACTATAGGACCAGGGGAGAGGTTTGTTGGAGATTTGGCTGTGCAATGGCTGTGACTATAGGACCAGGGGAGAGGTCTGTTGGAGGTTTGGCTGTGCAACAGATGTGACTACAGGATCAGGGGAGAGGTTTGTTGGAGATTTGGCTGTGCAACAGATGTGACCATAGGACCAGGGGAGAGGTTTGTTGGAGATTTGGCTGTGCAATGGCTGTGACTATAGGACCAGGGGAGAGGTCTGTTGGAGGTTTGGCTGTACAATGGCTGTGACCATCGGACCAGGGGAGAGGTTTGTTGGAGGTTTGTCTGTGCAATGGCTGTGACTAAAGGACCAGGGGAGAGGTTTGTTGGAGGTTTGGCTGTGCAATGGCTGTGACTATAGGACCAGGGAGAGGTTTGTTGGAGATTTGGCTGTGCAATGGCTGTGACTATAGGACCAGGGGAGAGGTTTGTTGGAGATTTGGCTGTGCAATGGCTGTGACTATAGGACCAGGGGAGAGGTCTGTTGGAGGTTTGGCTGTGCAACAGATGTGACTACAGGATCAGGGGAGAGGTTTGTTGGAGATTTGGCTGTGCAACAGATGTGACTATAGGACCAGGGGAGAGGTTTGTTGGAGGTTTGGCTGTGCAACAGATGTGACTACAGGACCAGGGAGAGGTTTGTTGGAGATTTGTCTGTGCAACAGATGTGTCCGTAGGACCAGGGGAGAGGTTTGTTGGAGGTTTGGCTGTGCAACAGCTGTGACCATAGGACCAGGGGAGAGGCTTGTTCTTTTCCAAATGTTTAGTCATCAACTCAACATTTGAAAAAGTGAATGTCATCTGCCAACAAATCCAAAAGCGTTAAAGCTTCACACAAGTCAACAACATAAACATGAGATGGATCTTCATGTGCTTGTTTAACACAGAAAATACAGAACAAATATCATATTTACTTTGATTTCTCATAATTTCAAGTCATTTCACTTCAATTACTTGAAGCTATAAACAAATTAGAACTAAATACTATACAACTTGTAAAAGGGTTGTTAACATTTTTTGCCAATTCCACCAAAAGCTTGATCAATTTTTCCTCCCAACTTGACAAGAAATCCGTAATCACCAGTGACAAACTCTCTACAAAACTTTTTCTCCCGTGGCGCTGTCAGTATCCGTCTGTTCAGGGTGACAGAGTGCTTCCTCCATATGCAGCATCAATACATTTTCTTCCTCATATTGAAAAAACTCTGACATTGATTACGTCCCCGAAATCAAACGAGCACTCACCTCAATTTCAGCAAGACATTTTTCAATATTTTCTTTTCATGTGTGTAGGCATGTCTATGTTTTACACCCGAACACTGATATGGTCGAGGCATTACAAGAAGAAACGATTTAAGGTAGGCCAGTACATCATTTCTTATATGACATTTGTGCATTGGGAAAGTCTTATTACACAGAAACACATTTGTTTTTCATTTCATGCACACGACAGAAAATGTACGTAAAAATCTTTCCTATTACCATCCTTCATTCTGTTGACACGTCAGGAAAGTACTTTCAGCGATGCTAGTATCATTTGAATGTTTCTGAAAATAAATCAAGATCCTTATCTCCAATATTGTTTCTTTGAAATTAATCAGAAGCTTTCACCGATAATAAAATATAATCCTGTCTGCTTTGTAGATTTATTTTCGCCACTAAATAATTTGTCTAACATTTCTTCTTTTGTTCCAATGGCTCATCAGTCCAGCATGAAACACAGATGTATTGGGTATATGAACGTCTGGCACTTAATAAAGTATTTAGTCACAAATGACAACAACTGATCAAAGTGTGATCATGTTATAGGACCACTAATTAACTCATTGGGAACTCCTACACCGACCACCACATGTGAGTGTGTCTAGACGGTTGTGTGATGAGAGAAATGTCAGACTCACAGAGACGAAAGTTGACATCAAGTGCCGCCAACAACATCCAGGACAGAACAGCAACTCTCCTCAAGACGAACTTGGATCATAACTATATATACCGGAACGGACCTGTTCTCAAGTAACACAAACAGGCAGTACAAGAAGGCATGTACCAGGTATTAAATATTTTCAACATACACAAAAGAGTATCAATCTGTCATTCATTGAGCTGAATTAAAAGACAGTTTATTCATAATTTTACATAAAATAAATACATCAGCATATTGTTTAGATAAACAATGTATTGTCAGTTTCGACTATCCATATTGACACAGCAAAATAATTAAGCAATAAAAAATAATAAAATGATAAAATCTGGACAATGCACACACACAGACATCTGTTTAGTCATCTGTTACATGGGACCACTTCTATGCTGAGTGAGTAGGGTTTTACGTCGCTTTTAGCAATATTCCAGCAATATCACGGCGGGGGACACCAGAAATGGGCTTCACACATTGTACCCGTGTCGGGAATCGAACCTGCGTCGTCGGCGTGACGAGCAAACCGACCGCCCCCCTTCTATGCTGAAACTCCTATCAGTGAAATCTACCAGGGTACTCAATCAGGTTAGACTCAAACTGAACATCAAATAACAACATCCAAATGTTATTCTGAAAGGCAAATAATGATCGTCAAATCTAAAACTTAAATCTAAATAGGTTGCTTAAAGGTTTCTGAAAAAGAGCAAGTGCATTTTCATTCCAAAATAACCTCTTTCAAAATTGCTCCAGAGAAATCTGACTTTAAAATCAGAGCACACAAAGTTGTTAGCTCATCAGGTATGGGGATCAATGGATTTCCCTCCAAGCACATACAATGTCAAAGTTCTTTGACAGGAAACTCATCAAAATTAACAACTGCTCCAAGTGTCAATTTGCCAAAACCACTGTCTGTCGTTCAAGTCTATTTCCCTGTAATCATGGCATACAAAAAAGGCATCTGTGCTATTGTGGAACAAACAGACGAAAATCTACATAATAAGTATAAATTTCATCCGGACTGGAACCATCGATGCAACATCCGAGGATGAGAAAATCAGAAGGCTCTCGCAGAGCCTGACATGGAGACTTCCCGGCCGTGTGTCTGGCGTTTGATCTCTGACAAGCCTGGAAATGAACCATATGTCTCGCCAATGTCGCCACGAGAATCAATTTCATCGCAACTTACCCCGGTCCTTGCTTCATTTTTTCTTCCATGTCCATGACTTGGGCTATTGTGGGGATCTTCACTGAAATATAGGTCTGGCATCAGACATGCAACACACTTTGTCTGTCGATTAATTAATGCAAACTGTTTCAGTAAAAAAAAATGTTGCTGATGAGAGACTTTTTTCATTGTTCAAAGTTCATAGTTTGGATTTTATCTTATTTTCTTAGATGGGCACAGCAGAAGACATTGGCCATTAAGTTTTAGTCACATTTGGATCCAATGCTGAAACATCTTACAAGCAGACAATCATCATCTGATGTAATTCTAGGATATTAATTAAGAGTGAGTTTGGCGTAACGTGACGTCAATCATTCTTTCAGCCCTATCTCAGCTGGGACATCAAGAATGTACACAAATTGTTACCATGTGAGGACTCGAACCCAGGTTGGCATGATGAGCTTTACCCACTGGGCCACTATGACCACCCCCCATCACATGTTAGGCATTACCTTCTATTCAATAAAACATGAACTGCTTACAAAGTGGACTATAAGTTGTAGCAGTATCCCAAGGGGTACACTTGGTTTTATGCTTTCCACATAAAAGTTCTCTACCATGGACGCATGAAATTGTTTGTTTGTTTGTTGTTTAACGCTGCACTCAGCAATATTCTAGCTATATGACGGTGCTCTGTAAATAATCGAGTCTGGACCAGATAACCCAGTGATTGATATCATGATCATCGATCCATGCAGTTAGGATCGATGACATGCTTCAACCAAGTCAGCAAGCCTGACCACCCGATCCCGAAAGTTGCCTCTTATGACAAGCATAGTCGCCTTTTACGGCGAACATGGATTGTTGAAGACCTATTCTACAACGGATCTTCACAGGTCTGTCATAAAAAAATTCAAACAAATTCAAAATTGATAGAAAAGAGGTGTTTGTTTGAGCTGAGGTTAACTTGTGCTTTGTCACGTGACTTTCATTGTCTGAGGCTTTTAGCTTTTAAGCGGGATGTAAGGGATTTTTTCTCCCGCTTAGAAATCCTCGTGCAGGCTGTTTCCTTCATGGCGGGGTATAGGGATTTTTCGCCCACTCAGAAATTTATTTCCCTCCCATGCAAATCTTTGTAATGCAATTCGTTGTGGCATATATCTCCTGCGGAAGCCACTTTTGGATGATAATTGCCCTGAAATTTATTTCCCTCCCATGCAAATCTTTGTAACGCAATTCGTTGTGGCAATATCTCCTGCGGAAGCCACTTTTGGATGATAATTGCCCTGAAATTTATTTCCCTCCCATGCAAATCTTTGTAATGCAATTTGTTGTGGCAATATCTCCTGCGGAAGCCACTTTTGGATGATAATTGCCCTGAAATTTATTTCCCTCCAATGCAAATCTTTGTAATGCAATTCGTTGTGGCAATATCTCCTGCGGAAGCCACTTTTGGATAATAATTGCCCTGACTGAAGTGAGGCGGAACAGTACCTCTAAACTTGAGGCTCTTCCAGTACTGCTGATGGACATCCAGGACGTCACAGATGGTTTGGACGGCACTGTGGGAGAGACAAACATGACATGAGGACATAGAAACTGTGACGGATAGAGTGAGTGAGGGAGTATGGTTTTACGCCGCTTTTAGCAATATTCCAGCAATATCATGGCGGGGGACACCAGAAATGGGCTTCACACAATGTACCCGTCAGGAATCGAACCCGGGTCTTCGGCGTCACAAGCGAACGCTTTAACCACTAGGCTACCCGACCGCTCGACGGATAGATTGACTCAGTTGGGTTAACACTAGGGGTCAAACGATACAGCAGGGTCACGATACGAAATGTATCACGATACCGAGGTCACAATACGATACAAATCGCATGGAAATGTCTTGACTATAAATATTATAGAGCAGGTTCAAGAGGAAATGCTATCTGTAGACACATTTTGCCATTTTTGACTGACAAAAGTACCGAGTGATCATTAAGGAGTATAATGTATTTTAGCAAGTGTATCGTCTTGTATCGAAACAGAAAGAAATGTATCATGTATTATATCGGTGCATGAAAACTCACAATGCACCGTGCCCCGATGCACCGATGTATTGTTTCACCTCTAATGGCTTGTAGATATTCCAATTTGTATATCCTGCTTTGATAAATAACAGACAACTTCAAGTAAAATACAACACTCTTTTGAATTTATTTTGTAAATATTCGATTCTAGTGACCACGAATAAGGAATTTAATTCATGATGGGATAAGGTTCGATGCACCAAATAAGCGAGTGAATCATAACAGTCCTAGTTAACACTACTTTGAACAGTATTTCACCTACACGATAGAGTGTCAGCTTTATACAGGAGGAAAACCCATAGTGACCGAGATTTGGGATGTGTACCTTAATTGGGTTCTGATGATTTGTGATAAATCAAGGACGAGTGGGGGGGCTGATGTGATGCATCATGATTTGTTCGTTTGTTTGTTGCTGCACTGAGCAATATTCCAGCTATATGACAGCAGTCTGTAAATAATCAAGTCTGGACCAGACAGTCCAGTGATTGACATCATGAGCATCGATCCACGGAATTGGGATATGATGACATGTATCAAACAAGCCAGCGAGCCTGACCACCCGATCCCGTTTGTCGCCTCTTACGACAATCATAGTCGCCTTTTACAGCAAGCATGGGTTGAAGACCTAAACAGCCCCAGATCCTCACGGATCGATGCACCATGCTATCAGAATCAAGGCACTGGTGATAGATATGCTTTAAATAGACTTTCACAATTCACAAACTGTGAGATTCACGTTCACAATTGTCTGTTTAACACTGCACTCAGCAATATTCCAGCTATGTGACGGCGGTCTGTAAATAATTGGGTCTGGACCAGATGATCAAGTCATTGACTTCATAAGTAGCAATCAATGCAGTTTGGATACAATGATATGCATCAACCAAGTCAGCGAGCTTTATCACCCTATCCTGTTAGTGGCATCACGACAAGCATGGGTTGGTTATTCTAACTCTTCCTGGCGACAAGCATTGGTTACTGAAGACCAATTCTAACTCTGATCTTCACAAGATTAACTATCTGGTACAGACTATGGAGACGCAGGATCTCTATCTGTTGAACACTATGGGAACACATGTAATTTGACAAGTAGGATCTTGAATTTAAATAAAATTCTTTGAAACACAAACAAAGTTTTGGAAGTGTCAGATCTACTGTGACAGCACACAAGGACATTGATGTACATAGCTGTGGAGGTTTGTTTGTTTGTTTGTTTGTTTTGTTGTTTAGTGTCGCACTCAGCAATAGTCCAGCTATATGACGGCAGTCTGTATATAATTGAGTCTGGGGAGACAATCCAGTGATTGACATCATGAGCATTGATCCATATGCAATTGGGATACGATGACATGCATCAACCAAGTCAGTGAGCCTGGCCACCCGATCCCATTAGTCGCCTCTTATGACAAGCATAGTGGCCTTTTACGGCAAGCATGGGTTGCTGAAGACCTATTCTACATGAATCTTTAGGGCCGGTCTGTGGAGGGGATGTTACAGACCATGTTTGAATCATATATTCCATCTCCAGTCCAGCGAGCCATTATCCACAAAGCGATCACAACTCCCTTATTTTAACATGACCTTAAGAGTGAGTGAGTGAGTGAGTGTGTGAGTATGGTTTTACGCTGCTTTTAGCAATATTCCAGCAATATCATGGCGGGTACACCAGAAATGGACTTCACACATTGTACCCATGTCAGGAATTGAACCCGAGTCTTCGGCGTGACGAGCGAACGCTTTAACCACTAGGCTACCCGACCGCCCCTTTGAGCTTAAGATGATTGTAGCACTAAAATACTTTGTGGAACGAGGTCCAGGGCTATTGTCTGTGCTTGTGTAATTAAATACAGAGGTCATCAACTGCCATATTCATTCATGCAATAAAATCTTTGAGCAAGCAGACAAGCACACCTGTTTCAAACTATTGTAAATCTTGAAATTAATGGGAGCTTGAATTAAATGTAAAAAATGTGAGTGGTCTTCGCTCCCATTGATTAAACATCGCATTCATATCTCAAAATGTCTATCACATCACTACAGCCTCACTTCACATTTTGGATAGCAGAAATACCAACTTGGACCTAAAATTAAACAACTATATATATTCCACGTCACTGTTTATTGAGCAGCACTTGTAACAAGTATATAATGATGTCATTCAAACATTAGAAATTACATAATGGACATGCTGTGAGTTGACACTGCTGGGGTCAAGAGTTCTACCCACTCGTGTCAAACTATACATCACTGATTACTCCAGCGAGTCCAGACAGACGCCACCCACGCAACACAGTGTTTTTCTTCTTTGCAACTGCATCAACTACTGGTTCAATTTTTTTATTTCACTGAACTTCCTCAATGCCAGTCACCAGAATAAACACATAAATTATCTGTTGTTTTTAGGAAAACGCTATGTATTGTTTTATGGAAGTACTCAACTCAGGGCATTCATATTGAGTTGCATTTTGGCCTTCAGGCCACCAGTCGCATTCATTTGGAAACTCATTCATTTCACAGTATATACCTTTATAAGTGTGTGTGTGTGTGTGTGTGTGTGTGTGTGTGTGTGTGTGTGTGTGTGTGTGTGTGTGTGTGTGTGTGTGTATATAAATTGAAGTCTTGGAGAATTTTTTGAAACTTTTTTGAGAAGTAAGACATTCCCAGAGTAATTGAGGATATATCTAATTGGAGGGGCGGTCAGGTAGCCTAGTGGTTAAAGCGTTCGCTCGTCACGCCGAAGACCCGGGTTCGATTCCCGACATGGGTACAATGTGTGAAGCCCATTTCTGGTGTCCCCCAACGTGATATTGCTGGAATATTGCTAAAAGCGGCGTAAAACCATACTAACTCACTCACTCACTCACTCACTATTTGGAAAACTAGAGTGAGTGAGTGAGTATGGTTTTACGCTGCTTTCAGCAATATTAAAAAACATCATGATTGGGGGACGCCACAAATGGGCTTCACACATTGTACCCTGTGGGGAATCAAACCCGGGTCTTCGCCGTGATGAGCAGACGCTTTAACCACCAGACTACTCCACTGCCACAGAGAACTTGGATGCCCCCAGAGTAATTTATGAACACTGTCATGCTGAATAAAGTCAATAACTAAAGACACCGCCGATCTTGTTTATTCTGGACCAAATCTGACAAATCATGATACCCTAGCCTAGCATTATGCAACCTCACCTAAAAAACTAGTTGAATAAAAATCCTTTACGCTCAAGAAAAGATCGCACGAACTAATTTGGGAAACAAGTCAACATCTTTCGGGACTGAGCCGGAAACATACCTGGCCCCAGGTTCCCCAAGTAAAGGTTTGCTGGGGGGAGTCTGTTGTATACAAGCATGGTGTAACGATGAAGCTGATACGAAAGATCAAACATCCCAACAATTCTGGTTGATACTTCCCTCAGCAATATTCCACCACATGACTCTGCAGTACACCGTTAATGAACATCACAGGATACATGAAGGTCGGTGAAGCCACCACAGACTTGACTCACGGACATTTTAATACAAACAACTTTATTTTTCCTACTTATCCTCATGTTTCTTTTCACATTGTGATCAAATGTCACAACCGTCTCCTGATGTCTGGAGTCTTCGCTAGTCTCGCGTATTGACATTAATAATACAAGACAAACAATGTTGGCATTTGATGCCAAATCTGAGAATGTAATCCTGCGGTCTTTATGGGACTATAGTTCTGGATCCGGCATTGTCACAGAGACCATCTTTCGCTGTCAGGCTGCTGACTTGCTCTTGTCAGTTTTGTCAGTTCACGCTCACAAAAAGATCGCCCCTCTAGGATCTGCTGCCACTAAAACTCGTAACGACTGAAGTAAAAACTCGTGTTCTCAGTGCTAGGGGTATCAATTATGTCATATTAAGCCAAACTGTTTTTCAACTTTTCAGATTTCTTAAAGAAAATGGCTAAATGTTGAGTGAAGAACATCAATGATCAATATTGGGGATTTTTAGGAAACTTAAGACAGATTTGCACAGTCTCAACACAAGGTTTACAAGGAGCAGCAGGAACAACCATGGTGTCTATAGTGGCATGGTGTCTATAGTGGCATGGTGTCCATAGTGGCATGGTGTCCATAGTGTCAATAGTGGCATGGTGTCCATGGTGTCAATAGTGGCATGGTGTCCATGGTGTCAAAAGTGGCATGGTGTCCATAGTGTCAATAGTGGCATGGTGTCCATGGTGTCCATAGTGGCATGGTGTCCATGGTGTCAATAGTGGCATGGTGTCCATGGTGTCAATAGTGGCATGGTGTCCATGGTGTCCATAGTGGCATGGTGTCCAGAGTGTCAATAGTGGCACGCTGTCCATGGTGTCAATAGTGGCATGGTGTCCATGGTGTCAATAGTGGCATGGTGTCAATAGTGGCATGGTGTCTATAGTGGCACGGTGTCCATGGTGTCAATAGTGGCATGGTGTCCATGGTGTCAATAGTGGCTTGGTGTCCATGG